ATGCGTAGAGTGGCTCTTGGGTAGTTCGGGATAGGTTGGCTCTCTTCCTCATCTTCCACACCCGCTTCGACAAGGCCTGCAAGATCAGCCCGGTCGATACGTGTCTGACGGACATTTTGGAGGGAGAAGGCGCTGTGTCCAATATCGGTGAGCGCGTTAATTTGGCAGAGGATAGCACCTCTGGGCCCAGTCGCAACCCGGATGTTGTGAAGTTCGGATAGGTTTGCGGGTAGTCCGGTTCCAGGTTGCATCGAGTCGTCTAGATCGGACTAAGGTGGTTTTGCGTTGCGTTGTGGTGGTAAGTAACGCTGGTTACTGTACTGTAACCAAAATGAAGAATACCTCGAGTAGCTGGGTCTCAACTCTGCCCACAATTTCGTCGATTTGATCCTCCCGAAGGTTAAATTCCCCTACAACCCACTCGTAACAAGCTTCTAACCATGCCTGAGTTAGATGGAACGGAAACAGTTAGTAAAGGGGACACATCGGCCACAAGACGCGCTGTTTCACATGCCACCTCACTGGGTCAATTGTAGGTTTGGGATAGCTGGCACTGAGCCGTTGTATGACGACAGCAGGGACAGGCATTTCTAGACGCGAAGTGGCAGAGTTTTCTGTGCGTCCTTGCTCAAGCCGGCGTAACGGCGTTTTCGAACTCCATTAACGAGGTCTGAGATTCGGCATTGATCGAATGTTATAAGATTACTCCTGATGGACTACTAGAGGTATGAAAAACTCAAAGCTCATCATGAGCAGCGGCCTCCTTAGTCTTCTCAATCTTCTCCTGCTCTGCTTTCAAAAAGTCCTGGATATCGATGAAGTTGTCACCCTCCAGCTTGTCCTCCCAACTGCCGGCCCCCCACTTGGACTCCTCAGTAGGTACAATCCCGACCTTATGACCCGATCCGGAGTCGTCAATGTCGACTTTGATGGCCTTGGACGTGTCGAATGGTGCCTCTGCCCGTTGATCAATCTGGTCAAGTGGGATATCGCCGAGGTTCTCGTCCAGGTCGAGATCCGCGAGGTCGACGAGGGGCTTCTTCTCCTTGGTTTCGGAAGTAGAATCATCCTCGGTTGTTTCAGGTGCGGCGACGGGAGGGGCGGGCTTGACTGTGTCGTCGGCCTTGGCGGACTCGGAAACGCCAAGAGAACGCCTGAGGACGCGGTCAACCCGGCTAAAGAACCTGCAAGAACGACCAGCGATCATATCAGTAAACGTAGGCTGGTATAAGGCTAGGAGAATTGTGGCGCTTACATGTTACTATCTGTGACCTCGAAACCGGATCTCACAAGGGCACCATCAACCATAATGGACACAACCTCCTTCAGCTCCTCCTCAAGCATCGCATCCTTCTCCTCGCCCTCTTCGACGTCGTTGAGTTCCTGGACCTTTGCCAGCAGACCAGCGATCAACGGGCTCCTTGGGTTGATCTCCAGGTTGCGCTGCTTTTTGGCGTAGTCCTCCATGATCTGTTGCTGATCCGTCTTGTGGTGTTGGGCGGCCATGAGCTTCTGCATGTTTCCGGAATAGCCGTAGCTGTTGGCAACGATGGCGCAGGGCGAGGTGACGAGACGATTGGAGACGACAACGTCGGCGACAATATCCTTGGTCTCTGCCTTCAGGTAGGTGAGCAGGGTCTCGTATTTGGTCTTCTGCTCCGCTTCGGCCTCCTTGTCTTTCTCGTCTTCTTCATCCTCATCTGTGTCAAAATAAAGTCATGTCAACACTTTTCCAACGCATTTGCCACATTAAACACACCTCCAAATTGCAAACCATCCTTAGCAACGTCTTGCAGCTTGTAATCCCTGATAGAAGTTGGGTAGCATGTGAGCAAGCGGTTGTCGAGGCTCCTGAGTTCATATCAATGCAGACTCACTTCCAGTTCTGGACTTGCGTGAAGAGGATCTCATCCATGGGCTCGTTGAGAAGGAGAACCTCGTACCCTCTCGCGGTGAGTTTCTCGACGAAGAGGCTCTTAGCCAAGTGCTCGGTCTTCTCGCCAACACCAGCCAGGAAGAAGATCTGCTTCTGGCCAGTCTTCCTGTTCTCGATATACTGCGGGTGAGGTTACGACATCAGCATGCCTGAAAAGTCATCAAGACTCGTGGCCGACACCGCCTACCTGATCGAGCGTGACAGCTTCTCTGGTGTTGCTAGCAAACTTGATAAGGGCTACAATCTTCTTCTGTTCCTTGGTCGACTCAATGGCAGCCAACTTGAGAAGAGGGCTGTATCCGCCAACCATTAGCCGCTTGTACCTGATCTCATCATTGGCGGAGATCTGAGTCAGAATCTGAATGAAGCGTTTGATGAGGACGGATTTGATCTGGGCCATGAACTTTGTGCTCTGGAGGGTCTCGCGAGAGACGTTCAGAGGAAGGTCATCGGCTGTTTAAGAAAATCGTCATTAGATCGTTAGGTCTAATCAAGAGAAGGTTTAGAGTACGCACCATCTACGATCGCTCGGATCCAGCTAATCCACTTGGGGAGGGCATCTTCGCCGAGGTCGGAGGTAATGAACACACGCTTCACGAACATGCGGACGCCGTCGGTGGTAGCCTTGGGCGAGTTCCAGAAGTCCTTGGGGATCTCAGAGGGCAGGAAGAAAACGGCACGGAAGCCAACGCCAGCCCCGGTGTCACCCTTGAAATGATGGTAGGCAATGGGATTATTGTGATCTACGTTGAATGTTGTAAGCAAGGTCGTATTGTGACGGCCGTGAATCGATCCGACTATACCTTTGAATGTTGCGCGGTAGAACAAGTTGTACTCTTCGTCGGTGATATTCTTCGGGTCACGCATCCAAAGCGGGGGCTGGTTGTTCAGATGCTCCCAGGTCGGAACGGTGATGGTCTTGACCTGAGGAGGGATCTCCTTAGGCGCCTCCTCCTCCACGGCTGCATCCTCAACAACGACGTCGTCTTCCTCGCCGTCAGCCTTCTCGTTGGCAACCTCATCGGTCTCATCTTTGGTGGTATCGGCCTCCTCTTCTTTGGTGGTGTCAACCTCCTCCTCCTCCTTGGGTGCGACGTAGCCTTCATCCTCTGGAGTCAAGGGAACCTCTTCCTGCTTGGTGGTCCAGAGATAGATGGGGTGAGCGGTGGAGAATGCGGAATGCTTTTCACTATAAAGAGAACAGGGTAATGAGCGAGTGTAAAAACGGGTATAACTAAACGACGACGTACATCAAATCACGGATCTTGTGTTCATTCAGGTATTCGGTGGCGTCGTCCTTCAGAACGAGAGTGATCTCAGTGCCATGGCCGAGAGTGTTGCCGCGAGGGTCGGGGTAGACGTCGAAGGCGGCCGCGTCTGAGGAGCTTGCGAATACATGCTGGACTGGATCGGGGTTCTCCTTCGTTGCTGGTGGGCGGGATGCGACGTACACATCATCGGCAACCAGGAAGCTGATCGGAGTTTTAACATTAGTAAGGTGTCACGAAAATTCATGAGATACAGCCTCACCTCGAGTAGAAACCGAGACCGAATTGGCCAATGAGATTAGGGTCAGTCTCTTTGTTGGAGTCCTTGTTTGCCTCTGCCTTCGCGAGGAATTCAGAAGTACCAGACTTGGCGAGAGTACCAAGGTTCTTGGTGAGCTCTTCGGGTGTCATTCCAATGCCAGTATCTATGGGAAGGGATCCACAGGTCAGCCGTCGTGTTCTAGCAACACTATAAGCAAGTACGGACCTGCAATGATGATGCGGCCTCCAGAGCCACCCTCATTGGGTACAATCTTCATGGTGACATTTAGTGGACTGTTGTCCGGGAAACCAAGCTTGAGAGAGGTGACCCTCCATTTTTCGATCGCATCATTGGCGTTCGAGACGAGCTCGCGCAGCCAGACGTCGCGGTGGCTATACAGCGATTCGATAACAATTTTTCTCAAACGAGCAACGTCGGACTGGTGGGAATGGAGTTTTTCAGTCTTGTGCACTTTTTCAAGCTAGGCATTCGACGCAAAACCCCCCACCTGGTAATCAAACCGTTCGGCTTTGGCATCTGAGGGTCTCTCTTGAGCGAGGACCTGCGCAATGAGGGGGAATAGGAGGAATGAGGATAGTAGGCGCATGGCTGGCGCAGGAGATGATGGTGAAGGATGCCAAGGGATATTGGGAACGCGGGGGTGAAATACGCTCACGGCCTGGCTTTTATGTCGACAAAGTAGAATGTTCAAGCCTACGTGTCACTTTGAGGTGGCACCCGACTCCCGAGACTCTTCCCTTATGAGAAAGATCACTCGCTTTGCGTGGAATGGTCTTCTTGCTGACGTGGTCGCACCTTGACCGCCGAATTGGAAGGTCCCGTGCGCATGATGTGCACTTCTTGGAGGATCACACCTGCCACGGCAATAAGCGAGTTCCTGAAGATGGCCACGTATCATCCTGTTGTCTTCATCCTCAGACATGTTCCAGACGTGCATACTGTTTAGAAGCATCTTTTGCCAAGAGCTTGATGGCTGTGAGGCGTTCAGCTGATCGCACGATTGTAAACAAAACAGCCCATCGTCATGAAACTGCAAGTGCATAGTAGCCTCTAATCACGCACGGAGCTAAAATACGCGCGCATATATGTTGATGACAAGCGACGGCAGGAGGAATAGCAGCAAGAGGTACGCTTTCCTCTTGCTGGGATGCTTTACCGTGTGCCCATAGTTGCGTCACCGCTCGCTCAATCCGGAAGCTGCGAACTTGATGATTTCCTGATTGATTGTATCAATCCTTAACGCAAATTTAAGGAAACAGTGTTCTGCGCAGTTGGATACGTGAGGGTCAGCGAAATACCTATGGATGTTCCAGTTGGGTGCTTGAGTAGAATTCCGTCACAACATATTGCATATCTGTATTTGTAGGTTTATACAGATAAGTATGGTTGCCAAGTTCACAACTTCCCAATTGAAACAGCAGTGAGGTGAAGCCGTAGATGGACGGGTTTGGACATGTTCATGCGTCCCACCCACCACGAGTGGGAATCAAAAAGTAAAAGAAGATTTCCTATTAGCCTAACATGGGGGTCGAACCCATAACCTTCAGATAGAAATCTGATGGGTTTAACGCCCACGTGGAGTTTCTATATAAGAGTCTGACGCTCTACCGATTGAGCTAGCCAGGCGCTTCTCTGGCACGTGGATCAGGCACCATAGAAACGGCGTTATGACCGTTGCGGCAAAGTCGACGTCATGCACTTTGTGCTCGATCTCTCCAACCACCACGAACTGGGATGCAACGTCTAGGCCTCCAGCGACGGCCACCATTACGCCTCTTGACACACTCGACTCGGTGTGCACCTCATGTTCGGCGGGAATCCACCCTTCCAGCCGGTGACGCTACCATTTTGGAGAGCTCAAAACCAACATCAATCGACATCTCACAATCACAGGTAGCACACAAACGATCAAAGGAGACCTTCACCTCTTCTGAATCTGCTCTCCCTTCTATCAGATCCCCGATAATACTCAACACGGAGCGTTCTTCGTCCAAGACGTCCTGCCCAGTGTCTACGGCAAATGGGATGCACGCAGTCGACTCTTTCCAACCCCGCCATCGGCAGTAGCTTCTCGAATGAAGGACTTATTCTCACAGATAAAGCTATACAACTTCAATGTTGTGAACGTCGACCCAACACCAAAAGATGGAGGAGTCTTCGTCAACTTCACATTCACGCCCAAAGGGGATACCCTAGCATCCAAAACGGTGGATGAGATCGAAGCCGCGCTACGGGTCAAGATCGACAAAGACGGCGGTATTCCGACTTGGTATGGCGTCGGTCGTGGGGCTTTTTTTCGTGTCAAAGGAAAGCCTTGGAATGAGGCAAGCCCGTCATCATCGTCTGACGAGGCCTGTTAAAATGACCCCAGACCCCTGTTTGATAGGACTTGAATGTCTTCCCCTCCAGCATCCTTAAGGTCGAGTTTGAAGGGCCCGATGTGCATCATGAAGTTCTATATGACATTCTCAGAGTACGTTCGCATCGCTAAGCCTGCAACATACATACACATTAACGTATGCTTCTCTCGAATACGCAGCCATATGGTCGTATCAAGGATATGACCAAACCCACCCCAGTCCCCGCCGGTAGCCTTCGTTTTGTACTCATCAACTTTAGCCGGTCTCGATCTGCCATCCTCGCACGTAACTGCTTACACGGCATTGGAGTGGCCGATAACACGCTCACTGCCGCTGGAACGACCGGTACTCCCACCAAGACACGGCTATCTATAGCGTATGAGGCGCCAATACAGGTGCACCAGCTCGCCTCTATACAGGGCTGCGAATACTTGGTTTGACATGGATGCTCAACATAGGCTCATGCTATCCGTGACTGGATGTCTGCCCATCCACGGATCGTCCTCCCGATCGCGGCCTTCCTTCTCGGATCCTTGACATACACTGTGAGATCCAGCTTCATCTTCCCGCTCGGTTTTATACGGTTATTCATCGCGCATTCCAAATAATAGGTCTTTGATCCCATCCGGTCTTTCTTCATCAAACTTAAAGTGTTGGGCTGGCTTGACTATCATGGTCAGATTATTTCCTTGTACCTGACCGAGAAAGCTCTTACCAACGACCTAATATGCGCAGACTTCAAGATCGTTCATTTCTTCCGTCAAAAGGTTCTTGATGAGGTGACCTTCTCTACCAAGTCGAAGGATGACCAAGGAGGCCAAGGTGAATTTGACGGTGACACAGCGACAGCTCAACCCGGTCCACACGGCTCCATCGCAACCACATCGGACGAATGGAAGGAGCGAGTGGAAGCAGAGAACGCTCTATATGCCTATCTCGCAGAGGCCCCATCAACGATCTCGATCATCCACGGTCCCGCAGGCTCGGGGAAGTCCAAGATGCTCGCCAAAGTGATGGAGAACGTGAATCGAAAGGTCGTCCACATCAACTGCGCTGAGCTTGAAAAGGCCGGATCAGATTCAGCGATGATCTTGGCGTTGGCACGACAGACCGGCTATTGGCCCATCTTCTCCTTCCTGACTTCGATGAATAATATGATCGACTTGGCGAGCGTGGGTCTGATCGGGCAGAAGGCAGGGTTCAGCACGAGTACGGAGGTTCAACTGAAGGAAATCTTAGAGGTTGTCGGGGGTGCGTTGAAGCAGGTATGTCAAAGGTGGTATATGGCTTACCCACCGTTATTCACAACTGACTCCTATGCTTAGGTCTCAGCAGAACTTGCTAAAGAGCAGAAGAAAAAGGACGCTCGCGCCCAGCGGGCTGCGGCACCGATACCACCGCCCAAGATGGAAATCGCCAAGACCCCGGATCCGATCAAGCTTGTCCCATCAGAGTCAGAGAAGATACCCGAGCCACAGTCGGAAAAGGATCCTTCAATCCTCAAGACGTTTTCGTCCTCTGTGACAACCTCCGTGACATCCTCAGTGTCTGTCGTCACTTCCTCAGTGTCTGCTGTCACTTCCTCGATCAAAGACGCAAAGGATAACATGCAAGACTACTTGGCGACTAAAGGAATTCTGGGTATGCCAAGAAACACTTCACGATATACGACCGTTCCTGACATAGTTATCGGGGCTTAATCAGGCGAGAAGGCCGCAGAAGAGCAAGCCGTGGAAGATTGGAAGCGGAACAGGAACTCTCCGACTGGCCGTCTGATGGCTGATGACGGCGTGAACGCTCTGCCGATCGTCGTGTTGCACGACTTTGGCGGTAGCAAGGATGTAATGCTGACGGTTCTCGCAACCTGGGCTGCAGCCTTGGTTGACAATGGCGTGAGCTGGCATTCAACTTCTAGCCCTCTTGATGCACCTTGTTGAAACTTCTGTGATTTACAGGTTGCACATGTCATTGCTGTGAGTGACAACAGGGAGAACATGCGACGACTAGCAAAGGGTAAGAAGGCACGCTGTTCTCCCTCTCTAAAAGCAACTGATTACGAGTTGATTTGAAGCACTCCCAACTATGCCTTTGTTGTCCGTTCCGTTGGGTGATGCGGATCCCGTCATCGCGCTGGGCTTCGTGAAGAAGAAAATGCCCAAGGACATCGTTGTGTCCCCAGAAGACGAGACGTGGATAGGACGTCTAGGAGGGAGGGCGAACGACTTGGACGCGGTATGCGTTTAAGATCTTCATACTGCTCGAGGTTGATCCTGATCTCATGTCTCTCTGTGTAGCTTGTACACAAGGTCCAAAACGGCTCCACCGTACGAGACGCCGTTGAAGACATCATCGCGAGAGGTGTGGGTGAATTGCGAAAGATCGCCTTTGGTGATGACGTCGAGGACACAAAGAACCTGCCTTGGAAGCAGGAACAAGCTTGGGCTGTCCTGAAGCGGTTGGCCAAGGATGACGAGGTTAGCTAGGCAGTTGACTCTTTGTTGCTGCTAGCGCCCTAAAATTCTTTCTTTCTTGCTCTCAGATCTCCTATGCGGATGTTCTCCTAGAATTCCCCTTCAAGGGTGATGAGAGCTCATTAAGAGAAATGGAGCACGCCGAGCTAATCACCATTGCGACCCAAGATGGTATGCCCTAAATTACACTTGGCTGTGGGCATGAAGAGTGCTGATCCGGACACGGTTTTATAGGCCTGCCCATAGCCATCCGACCAGGCAAACCCGTTTACCGATACGTCTTCCAACGGCTAGCGAATGGTAGGTGATACACCTCAAAGCACCTGGATCGCAACTGAACGTGCTACCCATCGAAAAAATTAGACCGCATCTTCAACGCCGTCCAAGATATTGCTTATAGCAAGTCCGCCATCGCCGCAGAAGAAGCTGCGATCAGAAAAATTGAGGAGGAGCTCATTCAGCTGAAGACAATTGGTTTGAACGTTGGTAACTCTATTTTGGGAGGCAGCGGTGCCACGGCTTCCAGGGCCGGCTATCTCCTAGCGAAGATGAAGAAGTCACAGGAGACTTTAGATGGGTTCGAAACGGAGATTAAGCGATTGAAGCAGGTGTTGCATACTCCAGTGAAGGCTTAACGTGCTCGGGACTCCATTTCCACCCCACACACCACTGACCCCTTCGCACTCAATACTTATAATACACACACCAACCTTTCTTCTGCCCAATAATTCCGAGGTCCTTGCGGGAGTATATTTAGAATCTCGATCACAAGGAACCGATGTACTTGGTTGATGCCCTCGTATTGTCAAGCATCATACACTTTCATGACGCCTTACCTCCTTCAGTCTCTAGCCACTTCCTCACTTCCTTTTTCGACACGAGCGTCATGGCTAGTCTTTTCTCCATATCGCTCCGGGGCCGATAAAGCCTCTGGATGGTCCCGCAGATGGACATGATATCCTCGAGCCCGGAGTCGAAAAGCTCCCACCAGGGATGAGCTGGATCTGAGGGCAAGGGTATTTGAAGTTGCCGACAAGTCAGGAAAACCGCGGCGGCAGCAACTGTCGCAGACGGATACAGAGCATAGACAGGCGTTTGCAACCTATCAAATAAACATAATGACGTGACAGCGCCAAAATAAGGGACTCAAACCGTTCATATGCACTCACGCATCGTTGAGATAGCTCCAGGCTCTTTGCGGCACATCTTCTTGGGTTGTAAGGCCTAAAAGCTGCAAGTAGTTTACGAGTGTGCCATAGGCATGCTGAACTTGAACATTGAACCCAAGTCGCTTTAGGATTTGCATTTCTGCGACGACGAGAGCATCCTTCATATCATAAAATGTCGACGCAAAGTATGATGTGGGCTCGTATTGGAACTTGGTGGTCGTGGACGACAACGAGTGCTGTGCCCGTGAGAGGAGGAGATCATAGACGTTGATCAAGTCACGCATGCGGATTGGACTCTCTTCTAGCTTCGAAGCAAGGTAAAGTGCTCCCATGCCGACGTCCTATCACAAAGATAAGAACTGCGATAGGGTAGAAACAGAAACTACTCACTCCGATTCCGAACTGCTTCATTGATGTCACATACCAAAAACGCTGAAAGAGGACCTGGGCGGTAGCCATTGCGACCTGGTTCCTATACCGCCCAACTCCCGTGAGGCAGGTACCATTGTGAAAGACATGATTATCGCTCACTGTTTGAGAAGGACTCCAGCTTGCTGTATGAGTTTGCACCCATAAGCCCTCAAATCTTCCTCAAGCTCTTCTGGTATTCCATCCTCGCGAGACGG